GACTTGTGAGACAGCTTGTGACTAACTTAGTCTGCTAGAGATACCGGTGCTCATCCAGGCCTTCCCGGCGGTAAAAGGCCCAGCTTAGCTGGTAGACGAGCCACAGATTCTAGGAATATCTCCTCGGATCTTGGTGTGATCTTTTGAGTAAATTTTCACTGTGTCGATGCGTTGGACGAGTTTCTTCGTGCCGATCCTGATAGTATATTCTATCTCTTGTAGCCCTCATAGAACAATGGCCGAGGTTTGTTTGTTTGACCTATCTAAGCTGTTATCATAGTTAGTAAATGAACTTTTGTCCATTCTTGAGCTTGGTCCACCGACATCCCCGTTCCTCACTTGCCTACCCCCCTCGTTATTGGGGAGCTTATGCGCGAAGGGAGGGAGCTATGGCATCTGGGGAATCCCTTGCACCGAAGTCCGGTTCCTAGAAAGTGCAGCAGCAAATCTTTTGGTATTGAATGGAAAGATGTGTTCTATGGAATCCCGGATCGTACTATTCACTCTGACGGGTCCAGTGGGTTGCATTATGCCGCATCTGTCGAGATCCACAAACCTGCCGCGATGCTTACCTGATGGGAAGCCACGAGCTGGGCAGAGCAGATATCTTGGGAAGCATACCTTTGACTTGGGCTGCTAAGAGTGGTCACGGAAGAGCGGTGGAGATGCTACAGCAAGAGAGAGCGTAGATAGCGCGATTGCACCCTTAAACCGCCGGTATTAAGGACCTAAGAGAAAACCGGAAAATGTAAAAGTCGTTTGATTGGCAGCACAGCGTACTCCATCTTAATTAATATCGAGCATTCCGTCCCCCTTTTATGGTCAAAAATATCTTCTTTTGACCCCCCGCGTGCTCCTCCAACCCAACCTCCCAACTCTCATCGGGCTTTACCACCTCCACCGCATCCCTACACCCACTGCTATCCCCCTCCAACCGCTTTTCCGGTGTGGGTTGTACGATGATCACACAATCTCCTCCTCCTACCACCATCTCAGAACATTGCCGCATATCACCCATACGCACTCCCTCTCACCCTTCCCTCCTTGCATAATCCCGTCGCCATACATTCTATCACTTCGCTTTTTCAGGCGCTGTATACGGTGGCGGTTGAACATTGAGTGGGTCACAGTGGTTTCCAACACTATTTGAGGTAAGGTCAGCGTGGGCAATGCGAGGCAGCGTCCGGAAGAGATTCTCACCCGTGGATTCTCTTGCTTAATTCGTTTAATACCGCTAATTGACTGGAATACTGCACGCCATTCCCCCTATAATCGTTGTCATCCAGAGCCTGACCCTGGAAGAGTTGAATTGCACTGATAGCCATCCCTGTCCTCCCATCTCCATACCCACAGTAGACGATCGTAACTCCCGCCTTGTCATAGGCATCCCAGATCTGATCAAACTGCCCCTGCATCACTGCAGTGCACTCCACAGCCATGATGTGTGAATATGAGATTTTAGCAGCACAAGGCCTGCCCCTTTCTTGCGGCGATAGCTCTATAGAGTTCAAACTGATGATGTTCTTTATCTCGTGGTTTTTAAGGAACTCAATTGAGGTTTCGTTGATACTCTGATCGGAATCCTCGCCGTCGTGATATGGCGTGGAGGACCGCACGAGACAACCAGGAATCACGCACTCGAACTGTCTGAGCACCGAGTTCTTGAGCTTGTGTAGGCCGAATTGCGTGCATACTTCCCCAACCTTTAAATGCGGATTGATGCCACCGACATATTGTAGTGGCCTGCGCGTACTGATATTATTTCCAGGGTTCACCTTTAATGAATACCCGCCCTGGCTAAGCCGCATGAAGATAAGCCACTCCAAAGCGAGGTTATGGGACGCGATACATGTGGGTTTACCACCCCCATCGAGCAGCCCAGGAAATTCCCGGTGTGTCTATTTCGCATGCCAATGCGATAATCTGAGGTCATTTTGCAGATCCACATTTGGTCCCAGTGATCCTCCTGATATTCCCGGAGACAAGACTCCTCTCCTACTGCGGTGAGCATCTCGTTCGTACCAAACAGGCTGATCAGATAGGTTTCGCCTGCGTCTAGGCTGTCGTTACGGCGTCCTGGTGGGAACATGGTGTGGAGGTGTTGGTGCAAGTCTTAAGGGAGGAATGTGGGGGGTGATTTGTACGTGAGGGGATTATAAGAGTCTAGGCTATAGGCTTTGGAGGCTTGATACAGGCCCACGATGAGAGCAGTAGGGGCTCTTATCCTTAGAGAGGTGATGTTTGAAATATCACTCAATCTGAAGTAAAGAAGCTGATGTTCAAGGCAAAATAGGACAAGGCGAGCCTTGTTCCAGTATGTAAGCTCCTTCAATACCTCAATCAAGCAACTAGGTATTTACAGTATAGCTGTCCGTGAAAAACACCCAGAACTCTCCAAAGCAAACCACCAGCAATCTTCTCCAATCCCCCCTACTTCCTGAACACCGGACTCCTCGCTGTTCAGCTACATCCTGAACCATCTCTCCCCAATCCCTCCACCCCCAACAAACCCTCACCCATCGCCCAGACAACCCAACTCCCAATACAAGCAATTTATTAGAAGCCTCCACCCAACTCAGCGAACAGCTCATACTACAAAATCAGATTATTTCAATCACCATACCTTCCACGTTTGTGCTGGGTGAACGAACCAGCCTCCCCCACTTTCCTTGCATCCTTTGACAAACTTCCTTCACTTTGTCTGCGACGTTTTTTGTACTGCGCGAACGTCTGTCTCCTCCCACTGTCCCACATCCTTTAACAATTTCTTTGCACGACGAATAGCCCTTAACCGCTCAGTCTTTCCAAGTGAACTGGTTACAAACCCCCTGAGATCTGCCAAACTAAAAGTGATACCATCTGTGGGGTCCACTGGCACACATATGGGAGCATTCCCTCCGAAGATATCCGTGAATGCTATTTTAAACTCCATTGGTTCTTCGCTTTCCGCTGGTGGTGCTGGTATAACTGTTGCCGAAAAGGTCTCTTTTATATCTGCTTGATCTTCACATGCTTGATACATGTGAATGGTTACCTCTAGGTTACCAACCAAAGGCTTTGTTAGTTTGGCATCCGTATTAAGATTTATTAATCTTTCTGCTAAACTATTAAGGTCTGTCCCAGCTGCAATAGCTTGGATTAGGGCTTGCTCCTCCGTATACGTATTCCCCATCTTGGATGCATCCCCCGATACCCCCTCACGTGTATCAGTGCTTTTCCGAGTATCGTTTTCTGTAATCGATAACACAATAACTATCCTTGTGAGACCTCCCGTATGTAACAGCCAGAGGCGTGCATCCGCAATCAAGTCCTCCAGAGTCTCACTCCACCCAGCTTCGCAGACTACTGAGGGAAACTCTGATCCGCTGGGCTGCACATATGCATCTGGCTCTTTCTCCGATGATCCTGTCCAGTCTCCTTTGAATCCTCCAAAGGCTGTACAAAGTTAGACAAAATAATAAGAGGATTTATTTATTCACTTACTCGTCCCAGAATTAATTTCAAGAAGCTGATCAGCTTGTGAAAATCCAACCTTTGCATCAAGCGCTCTCGAGACATTTCTCATGAAAAATGTTTGCAAAGAGTTATGAGTAGAGGTCGGCATACATTTTATAATAAAACGTTCCGTTAAGAAATTGTACTCAAATCGGATATCTGTGGCTTCTAAGAGATCTGGATTCTCGAGTTTCCAATTGTCCAAGTCCTGTTCAGAAACGTTTTGACAACATAGATCGCCTTCATAATTTTCTCGGAGGTTAACAATCTGCTTTCGACTGAGCATCTTGATTCCAGAAATATTTTTCATTTCCATGTCGGGATGTGCTTGAAACTCAGGCAGTCGAAGAGAGGGATCTGTAGATATGACTGTTGGCTGAAGCGAGATGGATTTCATAGGGAGGGGCCCAGGAGTCGTCGGGTGTTTTATAGCTCTGTCCGAGGTGGCCTTTTTTGGTAGAGGGAGCTTGCAGGGTGATCTGTATTTATCGGCACGGCGGCTCCTTATCTCATACTGATTATGCCACTACTGCCAAGAGCGACAGAAACAGCTGGTCGCTCATTAGACCAATGGTGGAACCCACTTTGCCACATCGTTAAAAGAATTTAAAATAACCACGTGGTAAAAAAACTTGTAAATAGAATTCCAAGCCTTCTTTCAGTGTCGTTACTAGGAACTCCAAATTGAGCGGTGGAATGCGGAACCAGAGAGAATTAACGTAGTATCACCCCGGAAGTGAAAGTGAATCGTAAAAATTTAGAGACAGGAGTGCAACTGGTGCAAATCAGAAGCGGAATCGATGGCTCAAGTCGTGTAGAAAAAGTTCAATTGGGCTGTAAAAAGTTGAACTAGTGACCTACACAGGGTTGAGATAAGATTTAGTAAGTTCATCCGATTGGTGCATCCAAAAACCAACTACCGTATAATCTCGTCAAATCCACTATCTCCGGCATGGCTCTAATCTCCAGATCCTGAGTCAATAACTCCTGAGAGGGATTAGTGTTTTCCCGACACGGTATAAGATCCTGGAGTGTTGGATCTCATTAACCTGTATTTGCAATTATATTAACATACCCAACTAAACCTTCTCAGGAGCTTTTGACCCAGAGTCCGGATATTAGAGCCTACCGGAGATAGTGGATTTGACGAGATTATACGGTACTCCTTGATCACTTCAAGAGTTCGGATGGAAGAAAATACCTGTAATATGAAGAGGAGGATTAAGCGATAGTCTGGTGCTTAATTGAGGATAAGTATGGACTCGGAAAAACCAGGTATCTGAACAGGATACGAAAGTGATGCAGTGATGAGTATGCGGTGGTACTGAGATAATGGTGAAAGAATGATGAAACAAATGAGAGAGGGTGGAGAGAAGGTGGAGGGTAAAGAGCAGCTGGTTACGAATCAAAATAAATATGTAAGCGGTGGAACATGGGGTTCTGCTGACCTGAGGAGACCGAAAAATTCCCTTAGATCCTAAAATATAGCTAATCTTCCATCATATGGTTTCGTAGTGTAGTTGGTTATCACATCAATCTACCACAATGGTGGTCCCCACTTCGAGCCCGGGTGAAATTAATCTTTTTTTTTTTCCCTTCCTCTCTCCTCCCGCTAGTCATCGCTTTTGCTCTCCAGTGTCTCCACTACCACAAGCCCAGTCCCTTCTTCCCACATATACCATTTTGTCCATCACTCCACCGCGAACGGGGCGTCATGTGTCCTGCCACAAGCCCGACGCCTCGATGCCTATCTCCAGCCAAAACCCGATTCAATATCGAAAATGGTGTGCGGATCTACGACGGTTGCCGCCCGAGAGGATTCCACCACCCCCGACAAACACTGCAGTCTCTGGCCGTCCCTCCTCCTTGTTTCTCCCTCTTCCCTGAGCAAAGTCACCTGTGTATAACTCGCTAAGTGTTTTAAGCTTCCGGCGAGCGAGCGGTTCCGAATCTCGCAGCGCTCCCAGTGGCTCGACACCTTACCCGTATGTGTCATACCAGGTCAGCGGAACATTTCCCCTATAATTTTATGATAGTATTATTATTATGATATCCTCCGCACGGTGGATTTGGGGTCATTGGTGCCGGCATCATGCGTCATTGGGGGAAGGGGGTACACGCAAGCTGAAGGGTATCAATAGTTTAAGTATATGATAGAGGAGAAGTGTGACGTAGAATTCATCTACGGGCTTCATGAGCATACAACAGACCCGAGTATCATAGATTGTGACGCGAGTGATCATTCATGATGGGTAATACTGTACGATTACTGTGCAACGGTCTCAAGCCGGGAGCACCCCGCCAACAGAAAAACTCTAATGCGACAAAGGCAAAGTATATCATCCGTACTTATTGCTCAATAGAAAAAACTGACCAACTAACATACCGCGAGGACCAAAAAAGCAAGCATAGCTAAAATTGTAAATACAAACGTCCCCAACCCGATATCCCACATTTATGAAAATCATTCACCCCCCGCGCTACCCACTTTCCCCACCAGATGCTCCGGCTCCCGGGCGGCAGTATCGTGGTTAGTCCTGTCCTGGGAGGAACCAGTTGGCTGGCCGGCCGCCAGACCTCCAAGCTTCTCCTGGCCCATGAGGCTGACTTTGCCGCTCTCTCCCCAGAAGGTCAGCCTGGACCATCCTGGCGATCCGTGTCTCTTGGGTGGAGAGGTCTTTCATCGCGTTGTCCTTCCACCCGTCAACGACGGATAGACTACGCTCAACTTATTCAGTTAGGTGGCCGACTTTTGCATCTATGCTTCCTGCTCTCAGCCTCCCTTTCCGCCTTCTTATCACTCCTACCTCCGACCGACCGCTAAACTTCCTCTATTTCCTCTGCCCACTCCAGCCCTGCCTCAAGCTTTCTCACCTGTATTACTCGAAATGACTGCTTCGCGACAGCGTACCAAAGTGGTGTTTGGCCACCTTGATCCCCCATATCGGGATTAACCTCTTCACGTTCTAACCGTAGCTTCACTGCTTTATGGTGGCCCTCCTGGGCAGCCCATGCGAGTGGTGTTCTGCCTTCATTGTCCGGGAAATCCGGGTTGATGTCTTTCCGTCCCAATAGTAGTTTCACCATTCTATCATTACGGTCAAGGGCAGCCCAGGAGAACGGTGTTCGGCTGCCTCTGTCTGCCATATTGGGGTTGACATCTTGCCGTCCCAGCAGTAGAATCACTACTGTCTCATGCCCTCCCTCGGCAGCCCAGGAGAGCGGTGTTCGGCCGCCTCTGTCTGGCATATCGGGGTTGACATCTTGCCGTCCCAGCAGTAGCATCACTACTGTTTCATGCTCTTCCCCGGCAGCCCAGGAGAGAGGTGTTCGTCCAAGACTTTCAGCCATAGTAGTGTTGGTGTTTTCCTCGGGTTCCAAATGTAGAGGCAGTGCCCAAAGAGTAAAACGTGCCCACGAAAGAGCAGAAAAATAATTGGCAAGCGAAACTTGTGCTGAATGGAAAACAACGTGCTTGAGGGATTTGTGATCGTAGGCCTTGGATCAAATTGGTTCTTAGCGACAGTGCCAGTGGTAGAAAAGTTTAAAAGAATGAATTGAGAAAGTAATTAATTAAGAATGCCGGTGTTTTGTTCCGAAAAGGTGTCTGTTATCGCATGAAGCTTGGTAGAAAAGGCATCGCAGGCCGTGCAGCAACGAAGAACATGTAAGGCAAGATATAAGAATTTCTTGGAGAGCCACCTCAACTAATATTTCGCAGAACAGTCACATTCAGGCCCAATTTAGTGTGCAAACATAAACAAAGAGCGTCATTTTTATAAAAAAATACAACAGAAACCCCCACTTTTGGCAGAGCATGCTATAATTGGAGTGGTGAAAATAAAAGGGACATTCTATAAATATAGAGGCTAAAAACTGATTCGGCAATTGCGATGGCTTGGCGCTTTCGAGGTAAAAGTTGTTTCTGACGACAGTAACACCAGTAGCAATGTGAGGAAATAACAAATATCCACATTACCTGTATGAAAGAAACTTTAAAAGCGGAAGTCTTTTTAAATCCTATCGGAACTCTCTTTCTTGCCATTTCAGGATTTATGTAGACATTTACCATGCATATGCAAGTTTTTGCTTCTAACAAAATTGGGCGCACTTGCTGTCTGAGTCTTAGTTGTTGATATCCTATAATACGGGCTGAACCTCAAAAGCGCCAGGCCATCGGCTCGCGGAGGCATTCCTGGCAAAGACGCGTGAGTGCTGTACGAGTACTGTACGGGTACAAGTCCCCCGCATGTGCGGAGCAAACATAGGGGGGATACTGTGGGCTGAGAATACGTTGCCGAGATCCCTCCTATGTTCACTCCGCACCTGAGGGGGACTTGTACATGGCAATTTGCTTCTTAGGCTTCTGCTGGCTATTCCCTCGAACTGGGTTAACATTCCAAGGTCGGGTATTGATGCTGACGTGTTTTTCACTGCGGTAATACCAGGGCTGTACGCGCAGTGCTTGAGTTCGTTAACCGAGCTGTGGAAACAGTTGGGGGGTGATTGGGTGCTCGGCCGGGATGGGGGGAAGCAGGGTGTTATGAATGTGCTTGATGTGGGGGTAGAGGCGCTCGGGTACTTGCTTGGCAGAGTATTGTGGAAGCGGGAGGAGAGAGGGAAGGATGAGTTTTCGGAGAGAACAGGGAAGCCGCCACCTGGCTCGGGTGGGAAGGCACTGCGGGCGGCGAGGGAGATGAGTAGCTTGCGGGCAGTTGTACGGGCTCTGAATTGGTGTGTCGGGTTCACCGTCGAAGGGGGTTATGCCAATGACGTCTATCGTTGGATTAATCTGGGTTCTTTGTGTTGGCTCGATGGTCGATCCACAACGGAAGGCGACATTTGAGTACCGTACTCAAGATCTTCATGCTCTTTTTTTTATTTTTTAGGATGACTCATCTGTGAGTCACTGCAGATAGCTGGGGCGCTCATAGCGGTGCGAGAAGTGGTAGTAGTCCCCGCGGTTAGTGCCGCCTGTGGCCAGAGGGGAACAAAGGCTATTGTTCTTGGTTCGTGCATGGGGCGATTACACCACCAGGCTCCTTTTTGATAGGGGGATTGGTGAAGCCACCGGCATTCTTGATCGCGGGGGATTGGAAGGCTTTGCCAACGTCCTTGATGTAGTCATATAGGATGGTGGAGCGGGCATAGGCGACGGCAGCGAAGCTCATTGGCATGCCTATTTCGATGATCGAAGAACCCTCGTTCAGATTTAGGTGCGACCAGAGTTGTTCAATGGTTTGGCCACGGAAAAATGACTTCCCTATCGGGAGGATTCTGTAGTAGCGATGATCAGATTGTAGAGTTTTCTCGGCGAAGCCTTATCCCTCTCTATCGGGGCGCCTGGTATGTGGTGTAGGTTTTTGAAATAGATATCCGGCACTCGCGGAATAAACCGAGTATCATCCGGGATCCTCGACGACACAATGCAACAACTCTGCAATTATAGTTAGACCCTTCCGCGCGTCATACTCCCACCTATCAAATGCGACTCGTACATTATACTCCATCGAATGCTGGGTTGTTCCTAAGAGCATCGGAAAATTGGAGTACAGAGATACGAGGAAGAGCAGGCGAAGCAGGCCGCAAGGCTTCAGATGAAGCAGGATGCTAGGGAGAGGCATCTCAAAATGGTTAGGGCGTACAAGAGAAAGGAAAGGGGCTGCAGGAGAAGGCAATGCCGGGGAAGGTGACCGGGGAGATGCTCGAAGAAACGATTAGGATGTGTAGAGAGAGGAGGATGATGATGCAACTAGTAGTGCAAACACGGAAAAGGAGTAGGAGGCGGCGAAAGGGGGGGGTGCAATCGCCGTTTTGCACTCGCACTGTAATAATATTTTTCATATCTGCAGCATAGGTCGCCGGTGGGTGGGGTATACTTGACCATTCATAAAATATTCGGATGCCTTGGCGCCAAGATGCGGATGTTTGGGCATATCTTGGCGCCAAGGCACTCGAATACATTATGAATCGCCGGGTATATGGTGCTTCTCAATTTTTATAAATTATTCACCCAGCTCTAAAAAGCGTTAACTGCAGCACCTATTGCTGGTATCATTCGAAAAAGTCGAGTAATTGCTGGTGAAAAGATACCACCATCCCACGACTCCCGAATCCACTAACCTCTTCCATCGCCCGCCCAGCAGTTGTGGGAACGAGAAGACGTATACAGGTACGCTGGTAGTACTCTTGCTCCGGAGGAGTGCTCGGGCAAGTGCTGTTGACTGTGGGGCCAACATGAGCCCGCTGTCGTCCGTCCGTCCGGAGCCGGCACAGTACCTTCGCGATGCATGGCTTGGAAAATAGGTCTTTGTCGAGTGATGTTTTGTGATCCTGATGAATATAGTTATCAACACAAGGAAGGGTGGCGCCAGTAATAGATACCGTGCCCTCCCACAGGGCATCCGGATCCATTGCTGAATGAACCGGATGAGCGGAGGATTATCTGTTAGCTTAGTACTCGCTTGAACGTTATCCTCCTGTAAATTGCGTACTCAGCTCCCCTATACGGGTATTACCACGCATGTGCCGCATATGCATCCCTAGCTCCTGATCGCTTCCCTCTAACTACCTCCTTTT